TCTGCTGTCAGTATACGTTTTAATTGTCCGAGCCCTCATAACTTTTCAAATGCAATGGCCGTGATAATAAGCTGGCTTTCATGATAATAAGCGTGCTTTCAGTATATTGACAAATTAATTGAGTGAACTCAATTAATTGAAGCTCAATTGAAGTTCATTTAATGATACTACTGAGTATCACCTTCATAAACTTCAAACCTTATGAAATGCAAAAGCCAATTAAGCTAATAAAAAGCAAATCGATAATAATAAATATTTAGTGTCTAGCGATTACAAGTACCACTTAAATATAAATTTATAAAGCAGATTAAATCCGAGAGTGTTCAATAAAATTTCATTAGTTGATTGTGATTGTCCCCGAAATATAATGAATAATTAATTGTAGACGAACATGTTCGAGTGCTCCACTCAAGAATGTCCGACCCGGAAACCACAAATTGGTTTATATTTGAATTGATTCACCTTCTAAGGTAACGAGAACATTTGAGAAAATTATACAATTTCTTAATATTTCCTTGAAATGATTATTGTCATCAAAAAAACCAATAGAATTAATTATTTACGAGACTGTTCTAAAATCTCTCAATAGCTGCTTGAAATCATTATTGTAAATCAAAAATAATCTAGCATTCATCCTATGTTTATGTCTAGATATGAACAATATTTTATTAATTAATAACCGAGGTGAGCTAAAAGAGTTTTAAGCTCAATTTTTTAATAAAGATTGGCTAACTTTAAATTGCGGAAATCTTAAAAGCCTGTTCCTCTAATCATTTTAGAGTTAGACTCCCAAAATTTGATTGATAAGGAACCTTTTAATTCTTAGTTCTCAATATATAAACTCGAATTAAATTTCACCTATTTCTGCTAAGATAGCTAACTAGACTCGACCAAACCCATCTTGAGATCAAATAACTCGCTCTGGAGAGAGAATGAGATAGAGAGAGAGAGGGAGAGAGTGGGAGGAGAGCTTGCGAGCGACAGATAAGCTAAACGAACACAGCAGCAACAGCAGCAACAGCAACAACTACAACAACAATAACAACAATTGAATCCCAGGCACACTTAAAATGCATCAATATTTTGCCTAATGTCATACATTAAAGAGACATTAAAGTTCCATAAAAGAAAATTTATATGGCAAGCTGTAAACAAGACCCGATGCCTACATCCGCTGTTTGTGTGTGTGTGTATCTGTGTGTGTGTGTGTGTGTGTGTGTGTGTATGTGTGTATGTGAAACATGGCATTAAATAACAGCGTTTTTTGCGCTTGAAGAACTTTTTCATCCATGCTCTTTTCCCCCAGTCTATTTCTATTATATAAGTATATTTCTTTTCTGCCGCATGCGCCATAAATTATGCTACACTTTATTATTTTGTAAGGCTAGCAACAAAAAACTTTACCTTCAGCTCAGCGCCATTTAATGGCAGGCTCCTAGATACTTTCAACCTGACCCTTTTTTTTAGCACAGTCTGCCCACAAAATGTCAGTCATAATGGCTTACTTGTTATCAGCAACAGTCTGTGTGGTGGGCCTATAAATATACATACATATTAATTGGTATTGGCCTGCATTGACTAGCAGTTAGTACGACACTGACACTATCTTTCACACTTTCACTGCAAACTTCAAAGTTTTCATATCGAAAAAGTGGTGAAAGTGGCTTAAAGCTGACATCATCAAAACCACAAAGTGTATTTTGTTTGCCAGCAAATAAAATCGAAACCGCCATTACAACTGTCAACAGGGATTCCAGTTTGGCAACAGCTTTTCTCTCAATTGGCTTATCAAAAAGTAAGAGCAGCACCTGCAAGTTAGTAAACAATCTAAATGGGTGTATATATATTTATATATATATATATATATGTTCGTCTGCACAAGAATACCAAATAGTAATAGCAAAATTGAAGCTCGTATGCCACACATGGCCACCTGGGCAAAGAACAAACCAAGCAACTTATATTTATTGTTCAAATTTTGTAAGGTTTTTTTTTTTTTTGGTTACTGTTATTGCCACTGTTGCTGTTGTTATTGCTGTCATCTTTTATTTACTTTGGCCCACCCACCTGCTCGCGAACAACATCCTGTGCTAAATATATTTCAAAGGAAATTGATTTGCGGCAACAACAACCATAGCGACAACAAAAACAGCAAGCAACAAACAACAAATCAAACCACAACAATGGTGCAAGCTAACTAAATGCGAATACTCGACTCAGGATAACCCTATACTGAATCACAGAATATATTAAATGTGGGTGCATTTTGTTTTCAATAAATTATGTTGCACTACACTCGAGGGAATACCCCAACAATGTTTGCGATTTCCATAGATTTGATTAAACATAAAGTATATATACATTATATATATATATATATATTTGTTATATACAGCTTATCACTGGAACTAAACCCTATTTGTAAAGCAATTTACAAACTAAAAATCCAAAATATTTTACAAGCTATCGATCGAATTAGTGGAGACTCTCGAAATAATCGATAGTAAGAAATAATAGCCATATGCATTTATAGGAATGTGCTTTCCTTGTATCTATGCTATATGCCAGTTTGAACCATTAAAGTGCAGGGTATATTAAAATAATCATTTCATATAATACTAGCTTATCGTCGCGACGTTTCCTTTTCCAAAAATTATTCACCAGACTGCACTTTCAGTGACTTCCAGCCCAAACACACCCGCTGGCATACACACACACACACACATACTGGCAACCATCGCCCCACTGACAACACACTGGTGCCTTGTGCCGCTGGCTGCCATTTTGTTGGCAGTGTGCCACATCAATCCATTGAAGTGCTCATATCAGGCATGTACGAGCGCCCACCATGTCCTTTCTCTGCCCCGGCTACTTGCATTCAACTTGGCGCTAGCTTTTGTTACAGTCACAATACACCGCAACCAACCCGCTCCCGCTCCAGCTCCCCATTCTCATTCCCATCCCCATCCCCATGTTCAGCACCTTCCGCTGCAGTGGAAACCACCCGCCGTGCATCTTTTGAACAGACCTACATAAATTGTTTGGCTAATTGCAAGTAGCTCTCGTCTCTCGTCCGCTGCTTGTTGCTGCTCAAGAAAATCGTGGAGCGACAACAGCAACAACAAAGAGCAACGCGAAGGAGCAACAGCAACTACAACACGGCCCAAGATCTGTTTGAATAGAATGCTGTTCCAGCGACAGCTCCACTTCCAGCTCTAAGTAGTTTGTGGAGGTTTGCCTTTGTGCGCGTAATTGGCAGGAAAAACTTGGGTGTTTTGCCCAGCAAACTGTGCAAGGACATTCTGCACAATACATTGTCAGGGAGCAAGAATCAGCTTCAAATTGGCGTGCGACATTTCAATTATGCATTTGGGTACATCTATTAATAAATAGACAAATATAGTGAAGGTATATTCTTTGTAACCATAAACTATTCTAGCGAAAACGAATTACGATGCAGTCTTTGCAAACATAATAGGACAGTTCAAAGGAGTAGTACTTAAATGATTTATAAATAGCTAACATCGTTCTAGGTCATGCAAGGCAACGAATAGATGTTATTCGATAACTAATTTAAATAAAGTTTCTTTATGCGCACACTCTGATTATTATGAGACATGAAAGACATCCTTACTGGTACAATACATAACAAGTGTGCAGCAATTTTATTGACTCTATATCTGGCTGCAATGAAAGTTTATTTGCTTGGTACAGAAAATTTAAAAATAAAGTAAAAATTCTTAGCACTTATATTAAATATTATAATTTTGAGCTATAGCTCTACTTTTTGAATTGATGGTTTAGTTTGGATGCAACTAGATGGACTTTGTTTTGTAGGAATACGGTAGCCTTGACATCTACTAGACTACTATTGTCCCTTTTGTTGTTATAAGTGGCAACAGAGTGTAATTAAATTAAAAAGATAACTTGATTACATTCTTTGCCCGTGGCGCTTAATTGTGTCGAACGCCAGAGAAATATAAATGCTTCTTTGCATATCCACATCGTATTTCATTTTTAAATTATTTTTCGCCCATCGAACAATAATTTGATTGTTGTGTCTGTTTTTATTTGTTTATTGAGTTGCCAACAGTAATTTACGACAGGCTTAAATGTCTTATTTCAAATTACTTCGAAGTGTGAATATTTATTACGAGATGCATGCTGGCTTAGCATTTAAATTGATTTGGTTTTTGTTGAGTGTCATGAATAATTGAAATTAATTTAAATTCCTTATCAAATTGGCGCAGAGCTTGGAAATTTATGGGAAATGCAAGAGAGATGAATATATAATTTAAGGATCATCAGTCATGTGAATGCACACAAAGAAGGTGCTAATTACTAACTGCCTTCTAAGGAGCACTGTCCCATCATAATGAATAATAAACACACAGCCAATTAACTAAAGCTCAAGACTGTGCGATAATAAACAAATATGTTGATTAAAGGCTTACTGGCAATGCAAACAAAGAGCCAGAAGCTGCCAAAAAAGCCGATGATGTAATTCCCTAGCAGCTGAATGATGAAATTGTTTAGTTCAAATATTAGTCAAGCTTTAAAATCAGTATTTTATTCGACACAAAATTGATTGTTTAGCCTAAGTTGAGAACCTCAAATAATTATTACCTGAAAATATTATTAGAAAAAATATCGATATTGGTTGCAGTAAGAAACAACTTTTTTGTTAGCCTTTAAGATAAGTGTGAAAATAAACGTTGGCTGATAAAAGGTGACATTCAACACTAGTCTGTTAATGTACTCCCTGCTAGGGTAATTTAGCATAATAATACCATATTAATTAACTGTGCCTCTGAGCTGATATTAAATTTTACATATTGCTACATGACTTCACATATTTATCTTTGTCTATTATTTGCTGCAAGCAGGCGCCTGCAGGACACAGCATAAACAGCAGACACCAAATATCTGACTAATTTCTATCTCTATGTTTCTCTCTCTCTCTCTATATATATATATATATATATTGCATTGTGTTATAGTGGTGGTCGTCAACCAACAAATGCGCTCAACCACAAACCTATTGATTATCAACTTGGCCGTCTCGGATATACTCTTCGTCATCTTTTGCGTCCCATTTACCGCCACCGACTATATTCTACCGGAATGGCCATTTGGAAATGTTTGGTGCAAATTTGTGCAGTATATGATTGTGGTCACGTGCCACTGCAGGTGAGTGTCTCCACTCCATACAAAAGCGGTAAGCTTGATACAGTAAGTACATCTGCCAACGCCATTGCCTGCCTTTCAGTGTCTACACCCTTGTCCTGATGTCCTTCGATCGCTTTCTAGCCGTTGTGCATCCAGTCACAAGCATGTCCCTCCGCACCGAACGCAATGCCACCCTGTAAGTAACAATGTTTTGCAATTGTTCAAGTAGTTGTAATTACGTCAATTACGTCTATCTAGCCCCAGACTGTGGTTAAATGAAATTTGGTATCAGGTTGCCGTATTGTTCAGCTATGGCCATGGGCATAATTTAAGTTAGATTAACATTTCGCATATGTGTATGTCTCTGTGTGTGTGTGGGTGTGTGTATTTGTGTGTGTGTATTTGTGTGTGTGAATGTATGAAATGGGATGAAATGAAGTCAATTTTAGCATGAAAAGCGAATCCAACTATGTTGCTAAAATTTAATTGGATTTGAGTATATTCAAATTTGGAAATAGACATAAATTATTTTTCTGCTTATCTATGTCAGATAAATAATTGCAAATGATACAAATTTAGATTACAGTTAATAACCAGCAACCAATGTTGATCAATCCATATTACTGGCCAAGACAAGATACCAAGATACATTTATTTTCACAATCTACTGTCAAGAACTATAAGCTAATATTTATAGATTAAATATTTACCAGATAGTTTAAATACTAGTTACGATTAGCGAAAACAAATACGAATTAGATATTTTTTATCTTTAATAGAAGACTATTTAAAATAAGCTTAAAACTTTTGACCAAACTAAATAAAATAAAATAAGCTGTATATAAAATACAGCAATGCAAATGACACAAATTAAATGTTTATTTTTTACCCAAACAGTGCCATTATGTGCGCCTGGATAACGATTGTAACAACAGCTATACCCGTGGCCTTGGCCCACTCAGTACGGATCTATCAGTATCATGGACGTGCTGGGACCGCCTGCGTTTTCTCCACGGAGGAGGAGGTCTGGAGTCTGGTTGGCTTTCAGGTAAGTCAAGCAATTGATTGTGCCTTCTGTGGCCTCTAATCTGGGTGCGTTTCCTTCATCATTCAACTGCCGGCACACTTGTCCTGATCTCTGATTAATGTGCCTGCATTATTCATGCCTTTCCGCCAAATTTGCCACCAGCTCGCGGCTACCAACACATGGAATTGCGTCAAATGAAATTATATGAAAAAAGCAGATACCGCATACATATACACAAACACGAACACAAATACACATTTATACATATATACATATTGGTGTTGTTGACACAAACTCATATTTTCCCTTGCCTGGCAGCAGCTTGCAATATATTTGCCACTTAGCCAACTCGCACACAATGCCGCATAGCAGAGCAGGTGTGACGAACACGACAAGGACAACGGCTCGACGCGTCGTCCTGCTGACAGCTTAGCGCCTGGCTTGCCAGGACTAGAGACTAGAGACGTGCCGGCGTTACAGTAGTAGTATTGTACATGTAACCAGCTGCACCATGCAACTGGCATTGTTAATCAGCTGCACAAATAATGCTATTGTGCATATGCGACTCCAGCGTCGAGTATGCTTCTTGCATCTAAAGCAGTGCTGCTGGCCAAACACACATCGACAACAATGACGTGTTGTGTGTTGAGCACAAAGCACAAAAATACATGTGAAAGCTCGAGCAAAAGCTTACAAGATTTTTACATATTTCTTAAGAGGCAAATGCAGAAAGCTCACCAACACAGACGCAGAGCACACACACACACACACTAACAGCCTTAGCAGCAGACATCTAGGATAGGGTAACTATAAAATAATTGTTTATAAAGTGTTTAACAATTATACACTGCTAACGCTGAAATCATGTCTATCTGCTGGCAGTCAACTGTAATTCGTTAACAGACAACAAGCATAAGCAATTGTAACAATTTTGCAACTACACAAAAATAATAGTAATAAATGTGCAAGTTCTGATTGCAACTCGATCCACATGGAGAGCAACACATTGTTGTTGCTTGGCAAACAGAAGACATTCAGACCAGACCAGATAGCTCCTTACACATTCAGTATTCAGTCCAAGACAGACAATGGCAGCGAAGCCAATGCACAACTTAATAATGTTGGCAATTCCGGCAACTGAGGGCCAAGTTATGGAGTATATTGTGCCATTAAGTTGCACTTTTAGAAGTACAAATGGGGATATCACAAAGTATTACAATGTGGTTGTGAGTCTCAAGTTTTGTTGTGAGTCAAGACCAGCTAGAAAATGCCATTGCTGAGATTTTGAGACAGACATGTTGGATCCAATATGAATATTGACTAAACAAGGTGCCACTTATTGAACAGAAAAATATATATATAAATAAAAAGATGGGTAATAAATGAAATCACTTAGGAATTTTGAAATATTACTTAATGTCAGCAGGTTCACACAATCTTGTGCCACTTTATATTTATATTATTTCAGTGCAATTTGTACAATAAAAACTAGACTAGTTTCTGTTTGGCTCATTTATTTATCATTTCAGTTTAATCAGCTAAAACTACTTAAAAATGTACAACAAGTTTCGGTTTCCTTTTTCTGATGATATGTTTTTCATAAATTGATTTATTAAACTTATAAGTTTATTTCATTAATGTAAGCCCCCGTTGCAAAGTACGCCGCTGTTTTAAAGGGCGCATTCCAGCAGACACGATGAGCTCTTTGTACCTTGGGCAGGACTGGCGACATCTCGCCGGATTTGAACAACAACTTGGCGTGTCTCGGAAATTTTATGCCGGAAGGATGTTACACAGGAACCCGCACTTGTGGCCAATGAATGAGCTCTATATACCCAGCAATAACAACAACAACAACAACAACAACAGCAGCAGAAAAAACAACGTCAACATGACCACAACAACAAGGATGACCCACTCACTGCAGTTGTTGTTTGTTTGTCTATCTGTCTGTTTGTGTTCCACACGGTATGTGTGCGTATGTATGTGTGTGTGTGTGTGTGTGTGTATGTGTGTGTGTGTGTGTGTGTATTCATGTGTACATATGCACTTGTAGAGCTAGCTTATAATGCCACTCATAGAGCAATTTACACAGCTCGATTCGCTTGCATGGACAAGGACAGTAATAGTAACAGGAATAGGAACAGAAATACAGAAATACAGAAAGAAATGAGAAGCAGCCTCGACATATTGTGACGTCTGGTAGAGCATATAAATCGCAATTACTATAAGCGATAAGTGAGAAGCCTCGACCTACAGATACTCTGTAATCGGTAAAGGATTGGATGTACAGCAATGTCGCTGATAGACACGACCCAATCATATCTAATTTTTTTGTTAATAATTTTATAGCTATCGCTTCATTCAATATTTACTTATATTTATATCATCATTTTTAAACAATATTTGAACTTTTTTTTTTTACATTGTCTAAAAAATACACCCAAAAAAGAAGATAAGCAAAAGGAATAGGCAAATTAACAAGGATACAAGGTACAAGAGTCGATATGTCGAAGAGTAAAGTGATCAAAGGAATCAAATTGAATATGAATATAAAAATAAAGCCGCACCACAATTATTTTGACAGCAACTGTATGTATCTTATTGGTGGATGCAGGGTATCTAAAGTGCGACTCCATGTGTCACTGGCCAGCTGGTGGCTCGGTATAGTTCGGTATTTTATTTGGCTTAGCTGTTTATTTGGTTTGGGCACCCAAAAGTACCAATATTTTGTTGTTGGTGGTTATTGTTGTTGCCAGTTGACAAACAGTTGAGCATTTCGTTGGCAAATTTGGCGATTCAATTTATTGCTTGCGAGCACATAAAAATGGATCAAACTTTTGACGCCTAAACGCATCGGAAAATGTATGAACAACAATCAACTAACACACACAAACTAAAAATAAAACAAAAACAAAAACAAAAACTGTTGTCATCGTAAATAAATAATAAACTGAAGCACAACAATGGGCAAAGACACGCCTTGAATCTGCCCCGTGTGGCATGCGTGACCACAGAGCTCGGTGGATATGCTCTGTGGGATGTTTCGTTTAGTTTGTTTTCCCTTTAGTTCCTATATATATAACTCCTTAGAAATACTCAAGAAAATACTCAATAAAAATACTAAGTATGTTATTGCCTTCACAACTTAAATTATAGATATGCTTAAATTATTATTTTTTTAATTAATTAGACAGTCAAGAAAAGAGCAGCAATTTTAGATACACAGATATGACTCAATTGAGTACATAAATTATTCAGCTTTTTCAAAAAAAATGAATGAATAAATTATTTCAATTTGAAGTAATAATAATAATAAAAAACAAAGTTATTTTTACTGCGTAAAATTGTGCATTGATAGTTTGCCATTGCTATTTGTTAAAATGACTACAGAATATTTAAAGATGTTGTTGTGCTACTTTTACAGCGATTGCCTTTTAGAATTTATGACGCCGAACACTTTAAGTGATAGACATATAAAGCCTTAACTATCAATAAAGTTTGAAGCGGCATAAAACTTCGTCGACAAACTGGGCTACTTCAAAATTGTAAGCTGCAGCTACAGCTACAGCTACAGTAAACGATATAGATACAAATACATGCAATGAAATCTAACTACTACATTATGAACTAAGATGGCCCTGTGTGTGTGTGTGTGTGTGTGTGTGTGTGTGTGTGTGGGCATCGCTTAGGGAGGCGGGGCAATAGTTGGCAGTGGCCAAAGAAAAACTTGTAGGCAAAACTTTTTCTACGCGCCTTTAAACTTTACGAGCTGCCCAATAAAAAGCCATAAACTGAAGTGTCTGCCATATGATATACGAGTACTAGCCAGGCAGGATTGCAAACTAGGAGGGTGGGGTGGTGGGGGGTGGTGGGGAGGTGGCATCTGGGACCGAAGCGGCTCGTTAATATTTGCCGTGCTCAAATTGCGCCTGGGATTTGGCCATATATACAAACTGAGCAACTGTCGCGCCTGCTGTCACTCAACCAAATTAATCAACTTGAGTTCGCGATGCCCTCACGCACTTTTATTAGCACTGTTTTTGTTTTTGTTGTTGTTTTTGCTTTTGTGTGGAAACATAAAACACTGAAATTAAAGTTCCGCCCAATTTTCTGATGGACAAATTTCACGCGGTTTAAATTAAGAACTTTATTCGTTTCAATTCAGTTGAGTTGCGTTGTACTTGTTAGGAAACTTTATTAAGCATGTTAAAGAAAGAGCACTTCGCTGATACTGATACTATTTTATGAATATAATAATTATAATTATTCATTAAAAGAGCATATCTATCTACTCTAGAATAGAATATACCTGTTTGGTCAAACTAATTCAAACACAGCTGATCACTCAATATCACACTGGTGGAACTTATTCACTGATGTTAACAATACTTGTAATTAGTAAAACATCGATAGTTCACTATCGAATTAGCCCAAGTTGTAATAAGAACTAGAACAAGCAACGCGCGCACCTTTGTGTAAGAACAATAAAGTGTTAATTAAAATAGTTAAATACCGCCCAGACTTGAAGTATTTGAATTTGTTAGGTCGGAAAAGATCGCATCAGTCGAGAGATGTGAGTTTAATGTGATATGTAAGTCTACGCTCATCTCGATCAAGAAAAATAGTTAATCTTTAAATTGAAGACAGAATGCCGCAATTAAAGAATCAGACGAGTCAGCCAATTATCCGCAGCATAGACAAAATAAAGACAAAAATTTAAATGTCAGCAGATTAATTGCAATCTACAAGGCTATTACATCTTTGGTTAATATTAATGATAAAAATATATTAATATCTGTAATTAGTGGGAAATGTTCATGGAAGCGAATCGAAGTTACGAGTAAGCGTGACATAAAACCTGTCATGGATGCCACAACCAGGGGCACAATCCATTGTATCAGCCGTGTATCATAAATAACATAATTTTCTCGTTAGCATTAAGTTGGTTATCATCGTCATTGCCATAGTGCCGTCTGACATTGTCATTGCAAACAATTTCTTTTTGCAATTTAATCTTTAATTAAGACGTCTGCTTGGCACAATACATTTGCAACATTTTCTTCATTTTGTTTCTGTTTTCTTTTTTTTTTTTTTTGCGCACTAAGAAAAGCTGTGTAAGACATTGTTATTGCTTTTGCTGTTGCTGTTGCCGTTGCCGTTGCCGCTGCTGTTGCTGTTTCAGTCACCCGCCTGCTCCTTGCATGTCAGTTCAGATTATGTCGACATCGCGACGTTGACTGTCGACGATAACACGGGACATGTTATCCAACCAAAGTGATTTCAATTCCGGCCCTGTCGGCCATTTTGCCATATGAATGCCTTACGAAAACCAAACCCCAACCCATCGTTTGATGGGATAGCTTTCTGCGATTATTATTAACAATTGTGGAAAGCGCGATTTCCTTTTGCCTCGTTTCATCTGGCTTTTCCGTTTTCCGTTTCATTACATCTGCCCACCTTTGTGCTTTTTCTGTTTGTATTGGTTAAGCATTTCATTGAGATTTACAATGTGCCGCCTACACGAATCACAGCCACACAGGCCAAACCCAAACACCTCCTCCTCCTCGTCCGCCTCCGCCTCCTCATTTATCCTACCGGCCTCAACCAGATCCATATCGGTTTCTGTAGTTTTACCCCAAACCAGCAAACATTTTTATGCCGCTGCTGAGTGTGTTTTATTGTTTTTTTCTGATCCAAACCAGCCGACCCCGCCCCGACAACACCACCAACTCCTCCCCGTTGTCCCGTTTTAATCATTTACACTTGGCTGGCGGCTTTATGCCAAGTTAAAGCCACTTGAAACTTAACGCGCCTCAAATGAGCTTTATATATGTACACACTTATGTATGCAGGTATGTATGTAGATATACATATATATATATATATATATATATATATATGTGGGTATGACCGATTCAACGAGTCGTACTGCAGATTGAACATCGTTGTCCGCATTATGGTAAAACATTGGATGGGTATGTTAAAGGATTATTTAAATACCATTTACATTTAACAGCAGCTGCAAATGGCACTTAAGCAGATTAATTATGTGGCAGTTTAAACTGTAAGATATAAGTATATAGGTGAAAAGCAGCCGATTTTGTGCTGCAATTAAACAAATTTCAATATCATGCAATCAAACAACACAAAACTGATTGAATGCTTAAATTATAAATGGTTCGAGTAATTGATAGTCGTAATATGTTCCTTAGAATATTCATTTGTTTTCTCAAACTCATTCGACTTAATCCCAATACTCTCGTCTCTTATTTTATGGTACACCTACTGCGTACCTTTCCCTAGTATAGTCTCTTAAAGCCCAAGCTCAAGCTCGATTCTGACCGAAGGAGAGAATATTTTTTGAGCGCTATTCATGTCCGCTGAAATTAGAATGAAATGGCAACAGCTGGTGGCAAGGCAGGCATTCACACCATGCTGTATCTCTGTGCGTGTGACTGGTATCTGGTATCTGGTATCTGGACAGCCTTACGGGTCAGTGCTTTTGGCAATTTCCAATGCAAAAACAAAAGCCGCTGACATGGCACCAGATGGCATGGCAACTTCACAGTGTGCCAAAAACTTTATGGCAACAACAGCGGTGATGCGGGTTTTTGCCAAAACGGGGCAAGGAGTGGGCAATTTGAGACTGAGAATGACCGCTACTGTGTCCAACTGTCGCCAGTTAGTTATCAAACGCATTGTCCTTTTTATATTTATTTTATTAAGCTATTCGCAAGTGATTTAACGTGAAAATCGAGCACAGACGGAGTGTTTCTTATGTTTTATGTACAGCTTTACAAAAACAAAAAACCAAACAACAAAACAAAAATGGCAAATGGAAATTTGCAAACAGATATTGAAATCACAGCGTTGCTGGCCTTGATAAGTAAACTTGGTACAACATGGCCTAACATTTAAATCCCATTATATTTTGCATGGCAAGATGATATAGTATAGTTTCCAGCCATGATCAATAGTCACGAATTAAAGCGAGTAATAGCCAAGGGGGAAAATAGGCTTTGAATACTTAACTATATTGAAAAATTCCAATGCATTCAATGCAAACTTATTTCTTGGCACTTTTATGAACTATTTACAACAGCGACATAAACAATTCGTATTTGCTGTGAGCAAGTAGAAAACTTTGTAAATATTTAAACTCCATCCATCCATTGACAGCAGCTTAGTCTATACTTTTAGCCATGTTGTTGGCGATTTATTGAACAATGATGACACTCGATAATTGCATTTGCTCTCTCTTCTCGTTGCAGGTTTCATTCTTTTTGTCATCGTATGTGGCCCCGTTGACGCTGATTTGCTTTCTATATATGGGCATGCTGGCCAGATTGTGGAAAAGTGCACCCGGCTGCAAGCCATCGGCCGAGTCACGGTGAGTCAAGTCAACTGCACAAATATTGCGCATACGCCACGTATCGGCGAGTAGACAACGAAAGTGTTATTGGTATTGGGATTGGGATTGGAAAAACGAGCCTGCCTGCAGGCACTTAACTTTTTTGTTTGCCACACTCAACACACAGACAGACACACACACACACACAGAGAGGTGCACCTGCCTCATGCGGCATGATGAATGCCTTTTTTATTATACTAGGTATTCCACCACTCTGAGAACTTTGTGCGTGTTGCTCATAAATTTCTAAATGCCTGTTCTGCCTTGTTTGTTATTTACCTTAGCACCCACCAGCCGTCAGTAAACTACTAAAGCACCACCCATGCCCACCCAATCCCTGATGTAATTCAGTTCGCCTTGGAGCTAAGTCATTGCAGGCCAACCAACGCATTTGAGGTGCTTTCAATTTACAAGTGAGCTGAGCCTTTTACGCTCGAATATTTTCTCAAAAACATCTCGTCAAAGCTAACTCTGTTTTAAAATTGTGGAGCTAATATTATTGTTTTTTTTTCACAAAAGAGAGCAATTTAATAACACAGTAAAATATTTTTAGAGGCATTTGTAAAAAGAATAGTGAAATATTGATTGAAATCTGTAGATACTGTAAAATAAAATGGCTCATCGATATACAGATACAAGCTCAACAAACTGAAATGCTCAAGACATCAATTTCGGATGAGATCAGTATTAAATCAGTTTTGAATGGGGTGTTAGGGGTAAAATTGTTATGTGCAAAAGCAAACCATAATTGATATATTAGCAGATTAACTCCGGTCTATAAGCAAAATTGCCAGCAAAATTCGAGTCCCGTCTGAGCCATTAGTTTATTATCAACTAGATCTGTGTCGAACATTAAATGATTCACCATCTTGGCAATTAGCACAATTTCCGCTAATATTTCAATGTTGAGGCCATCCCTAATCAAAAACTTGTCGAAGCGCGAATAATTTGTGGGGCTGCGCAGTTGATGAGGGTAAAGCAACAAACAACAAGCAACAAGGCAATAATAAAGTAAGGGGTGTCATGCAAACAATCCTTTTGACTCACATAGCAACCAGCCAACAAATGGCCGGCTTTTTTGCTGCTGTTGTTCAACTTTAAAGCGTATCCCATGCAGCGTATGCGTGATATGTCGCTTTTGTCGTTACCAAATCAAAAATCCAATTTCAACTTATGCCACATTGCTGTTGCTGTTGCTGCCACACTTATTGTGTGGTTGTGTTCAATTCTGGGTGTGTGTGTGTGTGTGTGTGTGTGCGTGAACATATGCAAATTGCGTATACGCCGCGTTGCACGTTTTATGAACTTGACATTGGCAATATCCGGAATAAGTTGAAGCTTACACAGAGTTAGTTTATAAAACAGACTGGCGAATGTAAAATTCAACTACAGACCAATTAATTTGCTCTCATTTCGATCGAATTCTGCAGAAATTGTACTGACATTTCAATATAATTCTCTCATTTTTTTTTTTGCATTGCAGCAAAGGCAAGCGACGCGTTACCCGCATGGTTGTCGTTGTGGTTTTGGCATTTGCAATTTGTTGGCTGCCCATCCACGTAAGTATTACTCAACATACATAATTTACCATGCTTTTTGAGCGACATGCTAAAATTGTCGACATTCCCTTGGAACACAACTCATTTTCCATTACATTTTTAATGTGCAGTAAAAGGCACGAGCTATGAATTATTTTATATTTATCAAACGACACGGGCTAAAAGTAACAAAAGGCCGTCAACTAAATAAACAGTCAACAAAAACAATTAATTAAACATACAAACAATTTTTGTGAATGACAAAGTTGCTACTAAATCTGTGTGTAGAAAATAAAGAAGCATCATTATTATTACTCATTCTGATTTGGTTATCTAATTTCAGTTTTGATTTAACACTTAAATATTCCCAGATTTATTATATAATATAAATAAACTATATTTACATTTTACATTTTTATATATCTTTTATTTTAATTTAAGTTGGTACCTAATTTAAACTATTAATTTATTAATAAGACCTTTCTTTAAAAATGGTAGACTGATATTAGTCCATACTAAATAAATAGAAAGATTATTATTAAAAAAGTATACTCTTGCTGAAATAATACTTTCCTTCAATATCATTCAATTCTGATCAAAGTCAGCTGTGTTCTTTAAAAACTTTCTTACATTACATTGCCGTAACATAGTCAGGTACTTTCGAAGTTAAAGCACTTGCAGCTGTTGCTGCAGTTGAAGCTGGTGTGCAAATAGAAACCGATGGTGACAAGAACTGAATAAATAATGAATACATTCGCACATACTGCTCAAACATGCCGACTTATGTATTTGTAATTGCGGACGTCATTAGACAGCAAATTGACATTTCCGCTTAGTAAATAGTGGCAATTTATTTGGTCGAGTGTCTTACAGTCTTAGAACGGAACACAGCTGACAAATGCCTCATTTGCGAAATGCTTGCATCAAATCTTACAAATTGCACATGCAATGGACAAACACAAATGGCAAATCACAGAGCAAGTGATGTGAAAGTGGTGCGACGATTGAATCCAATGATATGCACAACTGGCGATATATCTAAATTATATTGATTGTGTGTTACAGGTTATACTGGTGCTGAAGGCTCTCAACATGTATGGTGGCACACACCTAACGGTTATCATACAAATAATATCCCATGTGCTGGCCTACACAAACTCCTGCATCAATCCCATACTCTACGCCTTTCTATCTGACAACTTTCGCAAGGCGTTCCGCAAGGTGAGCGAGCATTCGTTGTCCAAATGCATATATCAATTTCAACATTTTCTCTCTCTCTCTCTCTCTCTCTCTCTCTCTCGCTCTGTGTGTCTCTCCATTGCAGGTCGTGTGGTGTGGCAGCCCGCCCCCAATTGTGACAAACCAGCAGATGACAAAGACCACAAGAACTGCAACCGGCAACGGCACGTCCAACATTGAAATGCTCTAAGCTGGTCAGTTGCAATACCTCAATCAATTGACAAACTACTTCCAATTTCAACTCTCTTACTCACTCACACACACTCTCTCTCTCTCACATGCATTCCACGCAGTTTGCAGTTATTAGATCTGGATTATCTATATATATTTATATGGCATATTTGTGTAAATTACGAGCTCTATATGCAATTAATGAGTTTTAACTAAAATTAATGCACTTATATAATGCGAATGTATCAGACTAAGCATAACTTATACACGCTATGTTATTTCACACCAAACAAATGGATTTTGGGTTTGAAAATAGGTAAATATGTGGGAATTTTGTTATTAAAAAAAAAAAAAATACGCAAAAAGAAATTAAATGGGTAACAAATACAGCAGTCCTATTAAAATTAGTACTATTACAATTTGTTTTGTTTTTCGATGTTCAAACAACAACCCAAATATGTATAAAATGTTATGCACATTTGATATTGAACAAATTATACTTAAACAAAAAAAACAAAGGATTCCTATGAGCTTAGCGCTATTGAAACTTTTCAACAATTGAAACAACAACATCGGGAACAGAAATTCCATATTAAGCAACAATGTGTAACAATTTGTATCTCGTTTATAGACGCATTTGTCTTGGTTGAAATCACATTAAGATTTCCTTTATCTATTAACAATAATTTCTGGTGAACTGATTCTGATTCGTCTTTAATTTTAAACTGAGTACAAAATGTTCCAAGTCAAACAACATTGCTTTTTCAATTGAGTTAGATATATCTTTCAACAACACCATACCGAAATAGACTTTTATTATTTTATTTATTCATGCTGAGATCGGTTTTAATCTGTTATATTTTAGCTTCCGTCAAAAAAAATATTATTAATTTCAAAGTGCATTAGTATCAATGATACTAAATAAATTACGCTAATTTTTCCACTCCTTTGTTGCCACAACTCAAATGATTATTCAGCAGATTAAATCATATAATCCAGTCATATCTAATTATTATTATAAGCTCTCAATTATCGCATTTATGTTTGTATTTCGTTTCAATTAAAGAACATAACCAAAAAATAAATACAAAATAAAAACTTTCGCTTGCCTGTTTGTGATTGGGATTGATTGTGAGATCAGATAATTAGATCATCAAACTAATGCAATTATATTAATGTGTCTAGAACATGCAAACATTCCATGGAATTCAGATTAATTCCAGATTAAAGCACACAATAACCAACAACATATGTTTTAATTATGATGTGTGTCCATAAAAACAAATGCAAAATATATGCGAGAAAATTGTCGCATTAAATTGATACAATTCAATTGTCTCAATTCAACTTTCACACGAAAATTACTCATATGTATGCAAATTGAAATGAATTATGTATAAGTGTGGTAGATTCGATGACAGCATTAAATATTCCATTGAAATGTCATTCAAATTGGATTAAAATAAAGCTAAACAACATTGTTAATTCAAAAATTCTGTGTGTCTCTAGACTATTTAAACTGTATGAACTTACACACATACATATTGATATACATATATATCTATATATATATATATATATCAACGGATTATATATATTGTGTGTATATTTAAGATGAGAGATGTTATGTGATTTACAGAATGAGAGCGAATTATGGTAAATGATTGTCGGTGATTAATCCTAAATTCTATTGTTAAAAGTGTGTTGCAAAATCCAATGAATTTGGGTACCTAATTGCAGAACTTTCGCATTATAAGACGATATTACATAAAACATAAGTGGTAACAAATATTGCATATTAAATGTATACAGTTCCAGAAAACAATGATTACATATGCAAGAAGCAAATATTTAAATTAAATTAACATTTTCCTAATAAGTGTAAATAATATAGTTGTACTAGAATACTATTTCAAGGGTTCAGCACAAGAGTATTAAATATTTTTGCTGATTAATTTCAAATACTTGCCATCAGTTTCAAGCTGTTCAAGATTCCATACAAATTAAAATTGAGATTTGTAAATGATATTCAAAAATATAGTAAGCACTGCTCAGCTGCATCTATTCTGAATGCAAAACTGGAAAGGCTCCTATTCTCTTTGAAAAAATGTATTCTTATTATATTTTTCAAATAGTTCTGACGGCTTAAATGAAGGCATTTGCAAGTATCATTAAATATTTTTGGACTTGAATCAATTTTATAGTATTTTTTAGTAATCTATTGGTTTCATAAAACATGCACTTCCACAGTAGATTTTTTTAAATAAATTTCAAGCGAATGAAACTGCGCAAGTTGTTCTACTTCTGTATATACTCATAAGCTACATATTTTCTGCGATGTATTTTTATACAGTAATTTCAATTTTTAGCTCAAAATATGATCGTAAATCACTGCAAAGTTTGTTTTGATTGGTTCGATAAATAGTTCGTTTGAATCGTTAGTTGTTGCCCGGAAATCATAATCCTGTTAAGTTTGCCTATTTTAGACTTTAATTTTTAGTTAGTATTAAGCATTGTAGTAAAGAAAAGATTGACAAGTTTTTAATTTAAAATCAAACATTTTGTGTGGCTTAAATTGGTGGTTTCCCTCAATTGAGTGATCACTGTGTTATTAGAACAATTATCATATGATTTATATTGGCTTTCAACAGGCAACCTCAGTCACATTTTTAGTTTCCTTCTAGCTGAAATAAATCTAGAAATACTATATTGTTAAAAAGTGTTGAATCGTTTTATTAAAATTTATAAGAAATGAAAATAGCAATACCATTAAATATGCAAAGTGCATAAGTTAAACAAATATATATATATATATATATATATATATATTATGATACAAAAATATATATATTCGATAATAGCTACGTAAATGCTAATTAAATTGACTATTGTATAAGGTTTTAGGTTTTTGGTGTCTTTTGTCATTGTTTAATAGCAAGTTTGTTAACGTTGCTTCGGCATTGCCGAATTAAATGATAGCTTAAGAATACTATTCAAAAGGCAACAATATACAAATACAAATAGAAAAACAAATACCATAAGTGAAGAATACAACATGTGGATATTGTGTGTGCGAATTGCATGTTTATATTTGTATATGTAAGCTACTGCATTCCTAGCACAGTTGTGGAATTGAACAATATTTGAATTGAGACATTTGCAAACCAACAATAAACAAATAATTCAAATTGAAATATTGTAGAAAAGCTCTAAGGCTTAACCCAAAAACATATATAATTATAATTAGCCACTAAGTGTGTATGTGAACAATTTTTGATCGAAGAATTGATTGTAAAAATTTTTAAATACAGCATTTTTTTTTTTTTTGGATAATCGGAAACTCCATTAAATTTACGTATTATATATAAGGTATTTAGCAGTCGCACAAGTGCAATGCAAAATTCGCGCATAAGTTTAAGTCAAAAGAGCAACAACAAAATTAAATGAATATACAAAAATTGTATTTGGAATGCAATTTGCATGCCTAGCAAAATAACTAACAACAAAAATGGAAGCTAAATTATTATATTTGAATATGAATGTTTATACCACAAATTTAATTCATGTGTTAACAAAACTACATGTATTTACAAAATGCATATGAATCGAAATAAATTCAACAAACATTTGCATAACTATTCCTTAGCACGACAGTGTTTTAAATGGCAGTTTGCCTATTTGGCTCAATTCGAATGATTTCACAGGTAGGTAAACATTCATACATAAATACATGTATGTATTCAGCAGCAAAATTATTTATGGCTTCCTGTCAGATTTCACAGACGGCCATTCACTTTTAACTTTTACTTACAAAACAAAAAATGTTCATCGACTGGACTTCAAACTCAAAAACGGGAGCAAGTTATTTTTGCATAATTGTTTTATTAATATACTTCTTTGGTTTCGAAAGAACTATCTTTAAAGGATGGAGCAAAATATGAAATGAAAAAAAATTAAATATATATATATATATATCGGAGTCGTCCTGTAAAACGTTTCAGAGGTCTCCGGCTATACATGCTCCTGGTGTATATGTATTTCTCTGCTGCATGAGGCCAATGAGGTCGCTGCCATAAGCCTATTAATGCTCAGCACGAGGCGATCTAAAAAACAAGGCGTCGCCTAACAATGAGCAGCTAATCAAGGCTGTGTTATGTCGTAGGAACTGGAACTGGATCGGTTTCCAGCGTGCGTCTTCAAATGCTCCAAATTCTCGTTGCCTCAGATACCAAACGCTCCATGTCCGCCAAAAGTTGCCAGCATATGTCATATGATCTTAAGATAGCAGACTAAGAAAAAATATATCGAACTATAATACTAAGTTTACAACATTTAGAACTTGAATCTCAAGCAGATATACATCGACTTCATATACATATACACATAAACGTTTACTCACGTGCTTGACAGTGCTGACAATTCTGTAAAGTTCGGCTCCAAGTAGACATGCAATGATCGACTCTTGGGTACCCTGTGGAGGATGTTTGGCATTGAGTCGAATCAGCCGTGAACATTCTTATTCGTCACTTACCAGCGTCAGTTGCAGTATGCCCTGTGAATTATAGAAAATAAATTTCACTGTATATTGTCTAAATATATATATATGTATAAATGCTTACAATAGTGCTGCGATCCTCTGTCCACCGTTTCGAATGCATATAAACTAGAAAACACATTTGCATATTGATAGCAAAAATATGCCAAATATATATGTATATATATATTGTGATCACACACATCTAGTTAGATAGGTAACACTTTTTAGTGAGTAGTTTCGATTCTATTCTATTCTGGGTGAATGCCAAAAGTCAAATTAATGCCAATAGGTATCACTGTTGGTATCGATATCATCGCGGCTCGCACACAATTCTATATAATTGGAATTAAAGTTCATTTCGGCTCAGTATCAGACGAAAACTTGAAGCAGCCAGACATGGACAGCAAGAATCCCGATATTGTGGAGAACGCTCCCAACAACAAAGAGAAAAGCATTTTACAGCCATTGCATCAGCAACCGCCGGGGAAGGGCGCCATTGAAAAAAAAGCACGCAACATGGCAGCAGATTCAAAAGCCTTAGCAAAAAGTGTAAGCGTAAAAGAGATGGATGATTGCGTTGCTGACGCTTCAACCACGTGCTGTAAGTGCGGCATGTGCTTGCCAATTCCAGGAAATGGCTGTATCTGCAAAACTTGCAAGTTGAAATGTGAGTAGCAAACAATAAAAAAAAAAAACACAAACTATGCAATAAGTTTAATAAAATAATAAAATGTATTAGATTAGAGACACTAATCCCTTTATGCTCTGCTATTGTGGTTTTTTTTACAGGGCACTTTGCCTGCTTGCCACAGATATTTGAGAAGCGTTATAGTTCGAGGCGCGTAGCTGCCCGAAATTGGATGTGCCAAAGCTGCTCGAACGCATCCAGGGCTGGACGCAGGAAGCGGCCAATTGCTGATCAAACGGCTGCTAAAGCAAACCAAATGATGACCAAGAGTGGCGACATTGATTGCACGCCTGCCACGAAGATTGTCGAGGCTTTCGCTGCCAGCGATCAAAACAAGCAGTTAGCCGATGTCCATGTCACTGATGTCGTCGACTCAACGGAGGACAAAGAGAACGTGCCAATTCAGCAGCTGATGCTGGAGCCGAATACCTTTGCTATGCCCGTCAGCAAGCAGGCGCCATTGAAAACCTGGAGCGTTGAGCAGGTATCTAACTTAATCGATCAGATTTCTCCGGGGCACGGAAGCCTCTTCAAGGACCACAACATTAACGGCACTGCATTGATGTCGCTCACAATCGACAAAATCTTGGATGAATGGGATCTTAAGCTTGGTGCGGCGCTTACCCTTTACGAAAAGATTTGTGAAAAGATTTTTGAGTTACAGACGACTGCAAAATCTTCAGATGATGATGATGGTGATGACAAAGAGTTGTTCATTTTGGAGCTTTAAGTTAAGCACAGCTTTAAGTTAATGCGAAATCGGTTCAATGAAGTTTCACATATTTTTTTCATTCATATTATTTTTAATTAAGACAAACTCCCAATTTATGTTTCGATATATCAAATAAAATGTTAAGTAAATTTAATGAATTCTCTAGCGTTTCTTATCGATATTGGGGCAACTGATAAAATTGTCGATACAATGTACCAAACTTGATTTGCGTATGGTAAACGAGTAGACCTAAAGTCCTCTGCTCCTGTAGTCCTTAAGAAGGCGACAGACAGACGGAAAGTGATTAATCGACTCGACTATTGTTGCTGATTAATGCTTGCTTCTCTACCTTACTGTTCCACAATTTTATTAAACCAATTTTTCCCCACTTTATAGATTATAGAAAGGAGAGAGCACTTCCACTTGCCTAACTATTTTTAATTTTTAAGATCTACTGTCATTTGAGTGTGCAAAGCCAACATTAATATTTATAGTATATTTAACAGCTGTGCGAAATTACCTAAAATGTTATTTTTAAACAAAAGATACAGGCTTACTTTATGTGCCAACCGAATGTTTGTGGCCCAGTGTTGCGTTGTTCTATCTTGAAGGGGTCCCAATGCAGCACTGAGCCAGCAACTGTGGCAACACCAAAAGGCAAACAGTTTTCCACTTGGCAACCGAGCTGCTGCGCTGATTTTAGCCACGTAAATTGGCAACATGTGTAAACAGCGACATTATTTAGCTAAGCAATTGCATTAAGTGTGTGGAGAAAACCTAAGAATAAACCGCTCCACTTGACCATACCGACGCCGAACCGTGACTGAAAAACGTGGAAAACTCAATCAAAATCAAATTTAGTTAAAGCAACATTTTCAGCAAATATCTTCTGAAAATATTCGACTGATTCTGCACGATTTTAAAAAACAGAAATACAAACTAGGATATGTGAGAATAAACCCAGTAAGGGTAAAGTTCTATTGCACATGCCAAGATAAAGGATCTCTACACCATCTCCATTTTCGATATGTTTACTAAACCAAATTCTCAATTGATCTTAAGTGCTGAATGTTTTGTGCTTATAGAAGTTAGATCTCAATTTGTGCTTGTTTGATCGAAAATGAATACTTTTTAATACTTTTTCGATCTCTAGATCGAATAATAACAGAACATCAACGTCAGCCAAAATACAAATTTTCAATATTGTACTGAATAATTGATTCGGAATTTGAAAAACTTTTATTACTAAAAGTAGACATTAGATACAAAATGTGTTAATTGCTTGAAATTTAATATATCTAACATATTTTCGGGAGTCTGTATAACAATTTTATACAGTTTTAATAACATTTAGATTTTGGTTTCTAAAAGAATATCTCAAATTTTTGTAAACTTGAATACCGAAATTGGAAAACCTAAAATCAATTGAATGTGCAAAAGGAAATGAGCGCTATAAAATTGGAGCCATCAAAGGTGATACGAGTTTTGGGTTGCAACATTATTGCAACAACTTGCAAACTTGTTGCACTGTGGTTGCTGCACAATTTATGCGAATTTGCTAATGAATAGCTCAGCACACGCAAAACAAAAAAAAAAAAGGTGTTTGGGGAGCAGTGGGGGGCAGGAACGCCAGGAAAGCGTCCTTTTTGTTGCTGATGCGCTGCTGCTGCGCTGCTGCTGATTTTGCTGCTGGACTGTGGTCGGCCAGATTTAACGATGCAAACAACAAATAATCGTAACATGGTCAATTTTATGTTGTTTGTTTATCAGCAGCTGGCAAGCAGGCAGACTGGCAGACAGGTGAGCAGCAGAAGCAACCCGCTTGAGTTCGTGGCAACAATGAGATCGTCCAGTTCGGGTCCAATTTGTGCCTGCTTGGTGGGTGTCCACCAAATAAACAAGACAATAAGCGTCACACGACTAGCCACACGTTGCCGTTGCCGTTGCCGTTGCTCCTCATTAGCCGAGTTAGGTTAACCCAACTTGCATATGAGTGGGCGCAATTTGACCGCTTGTGCGGCTCATGCTCAACTCATTAGTTCAAATAAAGCGCAGCAAAATGGGCGTTTCGTTTAATTATGCAGAGACCGCCGCCAGGTTGGCCGACTCGGTTATATTTCAAAACCGTTGAGCGCAGCCAGCAAGCCGCTCAGTCGCCCAGTGTCCACCGTGCGAGCCACAACATAAGCCAACAAATTGAACACAGCTCCAGGTCAAGTATAACGCAAAAAAAAAAAAAGAAAGGAAATCAGAAGAAAACTAAAAAGGAATGAGCCACCTCGAGGGAGAAACAGTTGCAAGGCCCCGCAACTGGATTCTACGCGGCACCGTTTTAATCCTAACTCTACAGCTTCTGCAGACGCCGAATGCACTGCAGCACACCGAGGAGGGACTCGAGCTGCTCTTTCGCGAGCGGTAAGTCACTGCTAGCCACTTGCTGCCTGCCTGCCTGCCTGCCACACGACATATTCACACACCTATTTCCCACCAAGAAGTTGCCACAACTAGAAATTTGTATTTTTTATTTAATTATTTATGTGTTTGACTTTGTCATCTTTGCCATTAAATAATATTAATAGTTTTTTCAGTTTTCAGAATGTGCATCTCGGTTTTTACATTATGCATATTTCTCCGATTATCAAACAATGTTTTTTCTTATGAAAACCCACTTTTTTCCAAGCTACAAAAATCCGTAAATCTGCAGTTAAATAATTTTATTTTCGGGTTATACGTTATTAAAATCCAAGACTAGACAAGACTAGATTTAACTTAAATAATACTTGATTTAAACTATATTTGATCCATTTCCATGATTGCGAATGTGAATGTGACATTTTCCAACTTTAGCCAACAATAAAACGAAGAAAACTGAGCATAAAATATACCCATATATATATATATATATATTTGTTCTCTTGAACAACAAACCAGCAACTTTATTAATACGATCAACTATTTTGAAAATCTGTATAGATTAAAGAATAACACTAAACAAATCCGTTGCAAATTATCGAGAATTGAGAATCGAGAAACATACCTAAAAAGTAATGAACACTAATCAAATAACTGGGAAATCAGCTGTATTATATACATATTATATGACATAGTTAATAAAATATTAATTATAGTTAATAATGTGTACATAATATGATAATAGAATATGTATATAGAAGTGTATCTAATAATTTTGCACAGTTCACAGTCAGACTGGGAGAACGTTTGGCACCGGGAGGCGCATTCCCGATGCCGAGACAAGCTGGTCCGCCAGCTCTATTGGGCGTGCGAGAAGGACATTTACAGGCTGACGCGACGCAATCGTAAGCGGAGCGGCAACGGGGACGGGGACGAGAACTGGACCAAGCGTACGATGGACAAACGTGAGTAGCCAGCAGATAATCTAGCCTGCATTGATTGATGGATGAAAACCAAAATCAAAATCAAAATCAAAATTCATTCATAGCGTCCATCAATGGTGCGGCTGGGTCCACCTGGCTGCATGTGAATGTTGCCAACATGCTGTTGCGGAGCAGACGAACGGATGCGCCCTCAATTACCAACGAGTGCTGCACAAAGATGGGCTGCACCTGGGAGGAGTACGCCGAATACTGTCCATCCAATAAGCGCCGCAATCACTACTGAGTTCCTTCAATTCGTGTGTGGTTGCGCTGCTATTATAGATTATCATAATAATAATAATAATAATAATAATATCTATTGCCTATACAAAAACTATCTATAAAATAAATGGAGATTTTTTTTTTTTTTTTGCAGTTTCCTTGTCTGTTGCATCGTGTGTAGCTTAATAAAAATGTTATGCCACAGAAATACGTTTTAATTAAACAACAACAAAAAAACACAAGAAAGGTTGTCGCTAATCGAAATTTTAACTTACATTTTGGTGACTGAAGCTGTTAATAATAATTAATGTTAACAATACTATTACCTATATGCAGGGTCTTGACAACTTTCTAGCTTAGCCTAAAAGCTTCTCTTTCAGCCTACACATTCAGTATTATTCAAATTCATTTCAAAATGGCTTAATCAAATTAGAACTTTGAATTGAGTGAAGAGCCAACTGGGAGAAAATTCAGCTTTGGCCTGGTAAAACTAAAATGTAACACTTGGAAAATTCTTTTGAAGACAATACGATCAAAATCCACAGCAAAATTTAATTTCTTGGCACTTAAACTTAAGTTGAGTTTAGAATAAAATATCAAAAAAAAAAAGGGGAAAACAAAAGCTTTGCAACCATTTTACAACAAGTCAAGAGCTGAACTGACTTTAAGCTAAAAGCGACTGTCAAATAAAATGAGATTGTGATTGAAGTCTACATTAGATATTATATTTGGATTATAGTTGTGCTAAACTCAATATCTAATGACCAAATGTGTGTGTGTGTGTGTGTGTGTAACTCTAAGAGCTAGCTAATTATATATTGTTGTTGCTGTTGTTTTTTTCTTGTCATAGATATTAACATTCAAGATCTGCTTGTGCTCTGGCAAACATACAAATTGTTATAACTTTCTTTGATTATAGTCTACAATCGCTTTTGCTAGCTGAAGCTAGTGAACAATGCAACTTGCACAGCTCTCCTTTTATAAGTAATGTTATCTGTTTCAATTAGAACTGTGTCCGACATGCATAAGACGTACATGGTACATGTAATCCTACTCTTAAACACAACCTACATAAATAACTACGATTATATATACATATATATATATATATGTAATGTTAGATAAAAGTTAAATAGATATATATATATATATATATATTAATAAATAGCTGCACTATTTGTGGCGACACCAAACCGACCGAAGCAATTTGCAATCGTACAGCAGCGAAAGAGATGGCAACAGAGTGCAACAGCAAGATTATAATCTATATAAATATGGCTTAGCTATAGATATAACTACATGTATAACTATATATATATATATATAAATATATTGACTAATTGCGGCTATTGCTCGCATCGCCATCCTTGCAATCCTTGCGCGCCTTGCCGCACTTGTCTGTCCCACTGGACGACTGATGCTGCCGCTTGGAGCCATTCGCCTGTCCCTGATCATAGTGCTGATCCAGCATCTCCAGCAGCGTCAACTGACGCTTGCTGCTTGCAGCAGCTCCAGCTGCAACGGTGTTTTCAGCATTGCTGTTACTGATTGTGGTCGTGTTGGTGGTGGTAGTGGTTGAGGTGGTGGTGTTGGTGTTGGTGGTGGTGTTGTTGGTGGAGTTGTTGCTGCTGCTGCTGCTACTGCTGCCGCCACTTTCCAAGCTGGCCGCCAACATCATGGCATTCGCCTGCTCCTGTTCGGCATCAACATCATTATCATCATCGCCATCGTCATCGTCATCGACATCATTATCGAAAAACAGACCATCGCCATTGGTTGGCGAACAATCTGAGATGTCTGCAAATAGATCTGGGCTCTGTTGTGTCCTTGCAGTTGTTGCAGTTGCTGTTGCAGTTGCATCTGTTGTCGTTGTTGTTGTTGTTGCAGCTGGCGTTGGTGTTGATATTGCTGTTGGTTCTTTGGCTGCTTTCTTGTGCTTGTGCAGCTTCTTCAGCTCATCCAGCACAAAGGCGTAGAGTGACTGGCCCTCACCGTCTTTCTTGTAGCGACGCACTACACCGTACAGTTGACGGACGGTGGTGCCATGCGTCCGGAACAGCTGCCAGAGCACGTGCAGATCGTCGCGCAGATGGCGATTGCCAAATGTGTAATAGGCCAGGGGACGGCAATGGTGCGCACAGACCATCATCTGGATGAGCGCTTTGAGGTGCGGATCACCGCCAAATGCGCCACAGCCCCAGTTGCCGGTGGCGACACCCGGCGCCGGTGTGACCAATGCATGCCTGAAGCCAATGGATGCCTTGTTCAGTTCACGCAAAATGAGATCCTCGCGATACTGATGCGATTGCAGTGCCTGGCCAAAGCTGAGTGCATCAATGGCCACAATGGCAGTGTGACGGCGTCTCGAGCTATCATATGGCGTCCGATCCTCATGATTGCCCGCCCAAGCAAAGCTGCCCGCATAGCCGGTGTAGTTGCTAAAACGTTCGCTGCCCACCATCAGCAGCGCCTCCGTTGGCAGCAGGCACTCTGTGAACAGTTTCGATATCAACAGCTCCGGACAGATAACGAAACGTATCTCCTCCTGCACACAGCCCTGTCCGAGAACGCCACCGCCGAGAAACTTATTGGCAAAGTCCACCTGCAGCAGGCCGATGCCCTCGTCCTCGATGGTGCCACCGGCATTTATGTGCATCGGAATGCTCGAGAGGGGTGCACCGCTCAAATACCAATTAACCTCATCCTCCGGCTTGCCGCTGAGCCGCACAAATGTTAGGCAGCCCGTGGGCACATTGCTCGCATCGCGCTCCGTTGGACAGACGCGACGAAAGTAATGGAAAATGCACTTCAGCTTCTCCAGCACAGACGCACCACTCGACTGATACAGCCTGCAACAAATTGAAGATTACACCGATTACACATCGTCATGGAAAAATATACTAACAATAAAAAAAAGAATGTAAATACGACCTGCTCACATCCCAAATTGAAGTTACCTATTGAAATTGATGTCCGGAAAATTGCTGTACTCCGATTTGCGTTTGAGCGTATTGCGACGCGGATATGTGCAGAGGAATGCATTGGCCAGCAGGCAGGAGATTTGCTCCTGGGTCAGTGTTAGGGCAGTTGTCTGATTCTGTTTAAGCAGCGGTATGGGCGCCCTGATCAGCTCCGGGAGACGCAGGGCGAGTCGACTGATTCTCGGCAGCAGATCCTCGAAAAAGCAACGCGACTCGCTCTCGTCCAGGTCCTCGTTGAAGAGCTTGTGCAGCGCCCGAAAGCTCCACTGGCCCTTGTATGTCGTATTGTACGAAAGGATCGCCGCCTGCAACTGTTTGCTATTGCTGATCGGTCGGAGCAGGGCCCGCTCGATCATGCCCCAGCGTGACTCGATCTCCGAGGTGCCATCGTCGGTTTCTACGGGATATTTGCTCTCTGGCGCACATGGCAGACGCACATGCTCCGCATCCCAGCGATGGGTGGCGCGTAGCGAGCGCGGTGGCACATTTGCTGGATCGCGTATGGGATGCCGATGGAGCACCTTATGATTGCCGCTCGGCTGCACAGCACTCAAGTGGTCCAGTTCGAAGGGATGCAATCCCCGATGAACGGCCTCAATCGGCTGACAGCGCCAGTGCCACTGGGGCTCCGTTTCGCTGTCGCTGCCTGCGAGTCGAATAATAGAATAGAATAGTCGAAACAGGTTGCAAATTGGACGAGCTTACCGCATGTGTTGCCCATTGGAGCGTCTGTATCTGTGTGGACATTAGCGGCTGCATCTATTTCCATGCTGCTGCTGCTTCTGCTCTCTTTGTCGCAGTCCATTTGGCTGTCAGCTAGTGCTGCGGAAATATCGATCTTTGTCCACTTCGATGTTACGATGTTTCTTTTGCGAATGATGGCGATGTATCGATAGACCATGTCGAATAACGGCGAATTTTTTAAAGTTGTTGTTTTTCAAATATTTGCTTTGACTACAACTGAAAGATTATAATTATTATAAATATAATTTAATAAATTACCATTTCCACGCTCAAGCACTCCCAAAAACAATTTTTTTCACATATTATCGATAGACTGAAAATGAGCGGCAATTTGCGCGCAGCCAACTTCATGTTAAAGTTGCCAAAACTTTAACCGCCAAACCTTAAACTTTTCAAAAAAAATACACAAACGTTATACAAATTTGTAAATGGTATGTAAATATATGTAGTACATATATACATATACATATATGTAAGTGCTTATCATATAAAGAGAAGACAAGGCAAATATTCTATTGCTTGCAGCATGCAGTTGAGTGAGCTTAATTGTAAATTATTGCACATGCTTATATTTATTTATGTGTATTTGCACATAAATTGTATATAAAAACATATATATGTATGTGCATATGGCATGTTAAGTGCTTTCACAGAGTTCAACACACCTTTATCGCTGTCTAATCAGCCGCATTGGCCAAGCTGCGCATTTTCTACATACAAACATAAGTTTTTTAGTGTTTGGGTTGTTTATTTGAAACTCTTTCGCGGTCCGCTTTTGTCGTGCGGAGCGAGGCAGCGCGTCGCGTCACATGGCAGTCGTCAATGCGTAAACAAATGAAGACAGCAAAAGAAAGCAGCAACAAAATTATCACAGAAATTTCGTCGACCCGCAAAACTCAATTAGGTTTATTGTGAGTCTGAATACATACAAACATACGTGTGTAGGTTAATGTGTGTGTGTTGTGTGTTTGTGTTTGTGGATAGCCTTCAAATGTACGTCGCAGTCGCCTTGACCATAACCTAGAAATACACATACCCGTTGCGGCTCTCTCAGAGATTATATTGGTTTGCTTGTGTGCGTTTACTATTTGGCTTATGTGTATATTATTTGCGTCAGCTGAGCGTCGCTGCAAACAGGTACGTAAACGCAGTCAGCTGCGGCGTCAGCGGCGCCCAATCAGGTGCCAAAACAAATGAAAACAGTGAAAGCAACAAAGCAATGAGAGAAGTGCGCCAGCCAGCATAAGGAGACACAATGGCACAAGGCAAGGCAAGGCACACAATATTGAATTCGAAATGTTACTAAACTTTTCAAGGTCATCTCAAGTATGAACTACTGACGTCGACGTCAACGTTAACGTAGACGCAGGCATCGCGTCAGCTGCGGTTGTTTGCCTTCAACAAGCTTTAAATGTATTGATGTATGTGTGTGTTCTTACATATGTATGTACATATGTTATTGTTGCTAAGTTTATGCATTAAGCAATTATTATTTATGTCATCTACATTTTCTCACTCTCTCTCTTTCTCTCTCTCTCGGACTGTTTCTATTGATCACATGATCAAAATGTTTGTTTTTCTGCTTAGCGCTTTTAGAATGCATTTCGTTAATTGGGATTCAACTTGTTTTTTTTTGGATGTGGAAGGGGGGGGGGGGGGGGGGTCGGTGGGTTTACCGTTATAATACGAAATTACGTATACCCACAAATACACACACACATACATCTCTTGACATAACAGGGGTTCTAAAGCAAGTAAACTTTCACATTTTTATTTTGATATCGATATTGATATTCATAATTATTTTGCTGCATTCTGACGTAACACATGCGAATCTATTTGTACACACACATACATATTTACATACAGACATACACATATGCATATAATAGATATAATTATTTAAATTGTTTTGCAGCCAGTGTGGCATCGAATTAAAATAAACCATTTGTAACGGATAATTGGGGGTGTAGTTTTTACTGTACGTTTTCTACGTTTCTGTTTTTTTTGTTTTATTCCAAAGCAGAAGAGGAAACAACGATTTAGCAGTTTTTTTATGCCCATTGACAGAATACCGTTTATCGCATGTAATGCAAGTAATCATCCCGCATATTGTACACACACACACACAACACTAAAAGTAACTGTCATTAAAGCTTTGCAAAACAAAAGCTTTCAGTGTGTTTCGCAGAGCGCTAAGGCTAAGCCGCATTTGTTTTGATTAGCTGTTTCTTCATTATTTGTTGGCAGTTATGTGTATGCACATGTATGTATGTGCATGTGTACATTAGCAGCTGAAATTAAATGCGCCAAGTCGCACGTTTGCGAATTTGTTGTGGTTCTTATCTCGCAGTCTTATGATTCGCGTTGCTGCAGCAAATACAAAGAAACAAAGGGGATGCCATAATCGAAGCAATCAAAACTTGTTTTTGTTTTTGCTTTTGCATTGTTTGCACTTTTCGTTGTTATGTTTGTATTTATATACATATATGTATGTGCGTGTGCGTGTGCGTGCATGTGGAAGATTGGGTGATTGGCTGGGAGCGTAAGCGAAACGGCGAGTGGGCGTAAGGCACAAAGCAATACAATGCAATTTATATAGAAAGACACACACTAATACATACATACATAAGTAGATGTCGACGTTGCTACGTCTATAAATAGAAACAAACTGTCTGCATTCTGTGTCGTAAATGCAGATGGTTAAGGGGTGAGGCGTTGTGTGGTGGGGTCAATTCAAAGGGTATGGACAAGAGGCGTGGCTGACCACGTGTTGCTAGGCGGGTCGCTCAACTCTCTGTCTATCTCTCTCGCTCTCCATCGTCTATCCGCTGCATTGGCTATTGTTGTTTTGTTGTTACTTAACTTTCGCACATACATACAAACCGATGAATGTATGTATGTATGTATGTACTTAAAAAAAGCTTATGTGTTTGTTTTTACGTGTGGCTGCTGCTGCTGCTGCTTCATCTTCTTTCTTGGCAAAATTTTCGCATGACCTTGACAATTCTATAGCCATATCTAAAAACGTTGGCGCACTGTCGACGCCAGCGTCGACGTCGACGTCGCCGATGACAAGTCAACAAACAAACAGCGATGAACGCAAAAACAAAACACATTTTTCTTTATTCTTGTTTGCAGTCAGAAAAACAAAATCACAAATTTTAGCTGACACTTGCACACATATGTACATATATAAGGACATACATATATACATACATACATACAAATGTATGTACATCAATCTATTTATAGGAAAAAGTTCGCTGAGAAACGCTGACCGATTTGAGCCAAACAATTGAGGTTTTTGGAGCGTTACCTGATGGGAATCGAACACAGATCGAACAACTATATAGTCCTACATGGAGCCATATATATTAAATTAATGTACAAAAATGTACAACTGTAATTACCTATGTACATTTATATTTTAACGAATAATACATACGTAGATATAAATAAATGTAAAAGTTCATTTCTAACGGCATCCACATAAAAATTATTTGCAAAACACTTTGCCAATTTATAATTTTGAAAATTGTGTATATTTTATTAACTATTTCCATCAGCCACATAGAGTAATGGAAAAGTCAAATAATATATATCAATCGGAGAATGTGTACTTTGCTTTGCTAAAGAAATATGAATATTTTGAATGAATTTTTGCGTTTGTCAAAACACTTTCTTGACGCAGTGTATATATTTTTTTCGATTTCGTTTAACACCCACACGAAAATGTCACTTTATGCAAAAGTTGTGACAACAACAACAACAAAAACATGAGTGGCAAAAGCAAGAGCTGTCAGACTGCGAAATACCCTGTTCGAATAGCTTAAAACTGAGTTTACTTATTAATTGTGACTATGAATGGCAAACAATAAATGATTTCTTTTATTTTTTCATTTTAATTTAATAAATTGATGCTTTTTGTGATTTAATTTCTAACATAAGCTGAACTTGAATGTCTCTTGTTTTGTGTAATTGTTCCTTTGATGATAATGTGGCACCTGCAATCAGCATACCCTTTACTCTGCTGTGTGGGAAAAGAGTACAAATACGTTTATACATATAAAGGCCAAAATTGAAAATGAAAACAAAAACAAGGGAAGTTTGAGCAAAAGAGAAATCGCTTTGCATTTCGCACGTTTTCAAAATAAAGCGCCAACAATATTAAATACGCATACATATGCAGCGTATGAATAATATCTGCACGTTGAACAAATACAAATAAAAATGCAAAAACCAAAAAAAAAAAAATAATAATAACAACAACGATGGCAAGTCAAGAAGGCCTTAACCCCAATAAATTTGTGTAAAACAATTAACAACATACACGCGGCGCAAGCTAAAAATAGCAAATAATTAAATAAATAAATAAAATAAAATAAAGACAAATAAACAACATAATAAAAACAAAGCAATTGTTGAACAAGCACTTTACATTTTTATTAGTATTATTGTTGTTGTTGTTCTTTGAAGTTAGTGGGCGACATTTAGGGGCGTGACAACAGATGGCGCCACACACGTATATCATTGAAGGATGCCTTGTCATGATCCTCAAGAAGAAGCAGAGATTATAGATAACTGGCTAACTGCACATAATTCACTTATGCATGTGCCATATAGATAAACATATATATATATATATATATATATATATATATAAAGTAAGACGTGGCTTGGCTATTATAATCATATTAAAAGCTGCTCCAAAACTAATTGAAACTCCACTTGGCTAAAACCAAAAGAAGAACAAACTAATTCGATTTTAATGTGTAGTAGAAATGGGAACACAGCGATGACTGAACAATATGTTGCCTATTTATTCTCTTCACATGCCTTTTTGCAGAGGTTATTTTCATTTTGACTTCATAAAGTATATATCTATCTATATATGTATCTCTCTCTTCCTCTCAACAAATGCTGCGTTTCGCAATTCTTACTTTTTCCCAGATTTCTTAAATCCCTTATTTTATTTGCATGCCAAACTTGTAATTAATTCAGTTTTAATTTATGTATGTAAATTGTAACTTTAATTTTGAATTGAATTTTTTAAAACAGTTTTTATGAATTATGAACTTATTTTTAGTCCAGCTTAAGCAATAGAAATATAAGTTCTTATCTGAAAAAGATCGGAAAACAATAACATATATGTATGTTGGTTCCATTAACCATACAAAGCTAAGATGTGATCAGGTGGACTTTCTATGTTTAAGGATAAGTAATCTTCTATTTTGTAAATCACGTAAAAGAAATATAGATAAATATAAGAGATGTAAAACACATATTTTAAGTGCATATACATTTATATGTAGATATTAGATTGTATCAATTTTTGATATAGATAGAAAAATCTAAACTGCATTTTAAACTCAATTTAATT